TCATATACAGGTTGCACCAGGTAATTGAGTAAAAAGATATTCTATACAAAAAAAAAAAAAAATTTCATGGTAGCCTTGAAAGTGACTGCATGTAAGGGTCATGTGCTCCTTGTTCATATTGCCAATTATGTTCACAATGTGGGTCTTCAAGTCTCTGATATTGCTGGGGTGTTTCCCTCCCAATGATTCAAATGATTGTGATAGTTCAACTTTAATAACTTTCATATAAGAAGGCATACTGGAGAGAAAGGCTATTCATGTGAAACGTGTCAGGCTGCCTATAGAACTAGCCGAAACTTGAAAAGACACATGCAAAAACACACTGGAGAAAAAAAACTATTTTTCAAAACTGTGACCTTCTGAAGAAGGTGTTGTAGTAGCCCAGGGGAATTGAATCCAGGGAGCTTGAAAGCTGCATTCTGGGTAAGATTATACGAGTGCAAAGATTCTTAGCCAGTTAATCATGGGTCACATGATCCATGCAGGTAGGAGCAGAGTTCTACTGGAAGACACATGGCTACCACCTCAATCCATTGTTTGACCACTGTTTCTAGCACTTTGATATAGATGCTGGCTTTGTGTTAAGAAATGGAACAACATGGCATCTCCCTTATTGTCCATGACACCCAGCCCCAGGAGCATCATAGACGATGTGTGCATCACCATGAGTATTTATGTGGGGTCCATGCAGAGTCACTTGTCTTTTCTCCTGTTCACCTGACCCCTTTCAAGAAACTGTGTTGCTGTGGTTAGTGCTGTGAGCAAGATGCCTCTTGCTTCAAATTGAATTATCAATGCTTTCAGTACACGTTAGAAAGAGAAATAAGAACATACCACGTACATATTACATTTGGTCGAGTTTCATTGATGGCCCTCTAAAAGTGTTCTTAAATATCTAACTTGCTCTATAATTCACATGCTGGTCTGAATTTCTAGAATAAGGTTTTATCATTATATACATTCACACTAACATCCACATCTTTGTTATTATTACAATGTTTCGGCCTTCTTCAGGTGTCTGTCGATTCAGGTAGCCTTCATGAAGTTTCAAACTTGAACCCTTTATTTAAATTTACAGGGTTACCATATATACTAGTGGATAGGTCGCACATTTTTTTTACCAAAAAATTTTTATAAAATATTAGGGGTGCAACCTATCTGCTTGACATAAATGTAAAACAACACTACCTTATCGTCATGATTTCTGAGAAATGGGAAATGATACCCATAAACACTGTAGCTGTGGTTTTTCTCTGTATAGAAACAATTTATCTATCATATATACTGACTCACTCCTTTAAACTTACCTCATGATTCACATATCCATCACAATAAATAAATAAAATTGTAAAATATTCATTGAAATTGTCACCGCTCGGTTGGGGCCTTTGCACTAGATTGATATAGAAACCCTGAACATGCATACATAAATTAAGGAACCACATGTAGATTATTGACAAAGAAAAAATAGTTCTATGACTCATTCTGCAATTTATATATATTTTGTCAAAAATACATTGAAAAATATGACTTGAAGAAATGAAATATATTCTTTATGTGATAATTTTCTTTAGTGGTTGTTTCATATAACTTTAAAAGGCATTCTTAAATGTTAAATGTTATACAAAGCACATGAAAAATGCAAAATGTTTGCACTATTTTGTATCACACAGTGATATAGTTGGTAGCCAAATTTATAGTTTATAATTTTAATTGTTGCAAACCCTAATCATGAGTAATCATTGATATATAAAGAGATAAACACTTTTTTCTAAATGTACTATAACATTTCCTTCTGTAGTTATTTTTTTTTTTTTTTTTTTTTTTTTTGGTTGAGTTGACTTGATATAAAAATAATATGCAGTAAATATAAAAATACCGGTACAACAGTTACTTCCTTCATGGTGATTGACGAAATGTTAAAATACATTTCATCAGTCATCATGTAAACAAAAGGCAGTAACTGCAAAAGTGTATTAATAATTGTAAGTTTTGAAATAAAGGTAGATAATTCTTACATTTAAAAAGGGCTGTGTAACTCCCTAGATTATAGCGCAAGCACACTGCAAGTCAACAGTAAATCATCAATTATCAAGCTATAAAGTAGGGGGCATGACCTATCCGCAAGCATATACAGTAGATTGTTTTCATTCCACTGTTCTGCTTCCACTGGGTACTACAAGATGAATGCAATCTTTGGACTTGTGTGTTACAGACATAAATTAAGTGGAAATGGTTATTACAGAATGTGAAGGCCAGGGCCAAAATGGTCAGCAATTGGCCAGAATACTTCATGGGCATGGTATTCTGACAGTGATGTATTATTTTTGTCTGGGATTTGGATATAAGTTCAAAATTGTGTAAATTCAATAGAGGGCCACAAGAATTTTGAAGCATCGATATGCTTTTCACCCCCGGGTTCCAGAGACGGATTAAGACTACACATGGCGGGACACTAATCCAGTGAATGGCAGGCATTCCCATGATGTCATTCCTCCTGCTGCTTCCTAGAATCCAAGCTGCCATATTTGTCCCTATCTTTTAACAAAAATGAATAAGAAAAAGAAATTGTCCTTTTTGTTAATACAATCTATGCAATAATTTTGGGACACAGAAACAACACTTAACAGAGTGCACAAGAACTTAGCAGTAAGAAATAAGAAAAGGAGGAAAATAAAGTTTTCATTTCTAAAACCCACAGCTGCAGATGTGAAATCTATGAAACAAATTGGAAAAAATTCAGAGAAACAAATTTTCAATCAAAATATTTTCCCTTGACTTCTGTATGTTATAAAATAAAATAAGACATATCTCGGCTGATTTACAGGCAAATAAACTAACATACCCAAGAGCAAGAGCCGGGTGTGAACAGGACAAAGCCCCATCACAAAATGACCATTATCTTCGTTTACAAATGTTCCCGACGCACGAGTTCCGGTCGAAAAATAAAATAATATTTAAAGTGTTCTATTTTTCTTCCAATAAAAATGCTTCCCTCCTAATTATACTCGCTTTGCTTTTCGAGCCTGTTAAGCCATAAAAAAATGCCATAAAAGGGGTCAAAGGGAAGTACAACGGCAGTCAACAGGTGGTCAAGGAAGAGACCTGTCACGGTCAGGCCGAGCGGTCAGCAGGGGAGCGCCAGCGTCAACATGTGTGAACTACTATGAGAGATCGACCTAGATCCGAAACCGGCTTATGAACTATACAAGGTAGCTGTCCCAAACCCTCATGTTCCTGTTGAAATAAATCACGTAAATCTATTTCTGCTGTTGTCGTATTCCTTTCTTGCAACCATATGCTCGTCTATAACATGTATTTTCCACTGACAGTATAATCTCATTTTCTTTTCTCTTAAATGATCTTCATTTGAAGAAAGAATTTCACTGGTGTTTTTTCTTTTAATATGATATTGGGTGTGGAAGATAATTGCCAGAAAGGGAATAATTATAAAAATGATAATAGTGTATTCAGATAATTATGGAAAGTTGCATTCAACTCTCCATCTTCAATGGATTCAACTTTCAAGAGGTTAATTTTGTAACCTGCTGATGACTTCCAGTATCAAAAAAATAAAAACATTCTCCAAACTGTTATATTTTTTCTGATTTTTTTTAATTTATTGCCTGATCATTTCAAAACATTGCAACATTCACCTTGTCTAAAAATGTTAGCTCAGTTTTCATTGATAACTCAGCTCATTTGTATGCAGCTCCTTTTACAACTAATTTCTAGCTATTACACCTTCTGTGTATCATCAGTGGCAGTACCTTGCAGCAAAGTGGTCGATCCTGCTTTAGTTGGGTGAATTGGGATGTGCAACTGTACTGGTCCATTCAACTATAATTATTATAATTCTGTTTGTCCTTCCCTTTTGTGCCCTGGTCAGCATGTATGGATGATGCACTGTAAATAATGGACTATTCTGTTTTGACTGCATGGAAAGATGCAAAAGACATATCGAAGACGCTACTTGATTTCAGTTAGAAGATGAATGAAAGATGGAAGTGTTTAATGGGAAAAAAATGGTCAATTTCAGATCTTTTCATTTGTACCCAATTCTTAACATAACAACCAGCATTCATATTTATGGTGATTTTCTAAGTGTAGCTTAGTAGCAGTAAGTATGGGGGCACCCAGTAAGGCTCAAACTCCCTGCTCAGTCATAGCGAGACAAGTGAGCAAACCATGTGAAGGTACCCAAAGCATTCATATTTATCATTGTTATTGCAATATTTTGTTAAAGTTGTTAAGCTCAAATATTAAATAATGCAATAGGGGAATTTCGACATCTATTTTATTGTCATAGAACTCAACATGGGTTTATTCAATCATTAACTGAAGAATTAAGATTCATCAGAAAATTAGTAAATCCATGAAATTTTCCTGGGTTAAAACTAGTTCATAGTAATTATACTACACGCCAATTTCATATTTAGTTAGACTTTAATGGTCCTTTGATGATTTCAGTATTTTCAAATCATTTTGTACTCTTTAGGGGCTAAGTGAGTACATTCAGTTAAATATGTTCTACTGTGAGTGAAGTTTGGTATGTTGAATAAATGTATGAATGGGTGAAGTATGTATGACGTGTGTAGTCGAGCTAGTATTATTTAATGTTTTCTTCCTTCTCTAGATATTTGTTTCCGTTCACCTAAGATAGGTTTGATTGTGAGAAGTTAATTATTTGTGATGTTGGTCCATTTTTGTCGAATGTAACTGTTTATTTTATACTTTTTAGGTCTGTATAAAGGATCTTGAAATTATTATCAGGGTTTCATTTTGGGCAGACTTTGAAGCTGAATCTGCTTTGTCATTGCATCTAATTCCTATGTGGCTTTGGACCCAACACAGCACTATTTGTATAAGGAATCTTGTTTGCATAGTAATTTTACTAGCCATAGGTTATCAAGTTTTATTTTTTGTTGCTGTTATGTTTTGTTTTTTTTTTAATTTTTTTTTTTATTGGTTTTATAACTAATAGGGAGTCAACCATTTTACATTGAAACTCTAGTTCTCATATGATCACCAAAATTAAGCAACACTGAGCCTGGTCAGTACTTAGATGGGGGACTGCTTGGGAATACCAGGTGCTGTAAGCTTGGATGTACAGATGGTGCAATGGATACCAGCTCGGAACTGGAAATTGGAGAGTTGAGTTCTAATGACAAATATGCTTGGGAAAGGTATGAATCCACTTCTTCTCCAGCCCCCCTCAACTATGGGTTAAATAGTAGTAAATTATTATTATCTTCAAAAAACTCCAGAAAATATTTTTGTTTATTGTAAATGTAAAAATATTTTCTGGCTTTTGAATAACCTGCAAAAGGTTGATAAGCCATGAAAAAGAAATCTATCAATGCATATTAGGTGCTTAGAATACAGCAACTGCACCCCTCTACTATCCCCCAAAAAATGGGCTACCTTCCAGGTGTCTATTTTCAAACAGATATGAATTAATCTATCCATTCATTGTTATTTTTGCACTATATTATGTTAAAATATTGTCTTGTATTTAAGTCAGTAGAACAGGTTAGAGAGCATTGATATTGTAACAAAATGTCATTGTAAATTACAAATGAATGAAAGATCTGAATCTGTAATACACAGCAATTTATTTCACTCAGAAACTTATCAATTACTGTAGGCCAGACGTGGGGAAGACTGTGATGTCACACATCAACATAGGGCAGAATTGGCATGGTCACACCAGTTTCAAAACTCTTGCAAACTCTTTCCTGTGCATGCCCAAGATGGTGGGACACTGTAAAGTGTGTTTGAAGCACTGTGTGTGGAACATCTGACAGGAGAAAATAACTGCTTGCCATCTATAATGGATCACGTTTTCAATTCCTCTGCACCAAGCAGAAGCGGGCTGTACATTCACGTTCCCAACAAGTGCTTCTTCCAGAAAGAAAGATCCATAGCCAAACATTTTTGTTGTGGCACCACACTACTACCATTTCTTATACAACTAGAAAGATACCTGCCTTAATTTCTGTTCAGGTGACGCCCATACAAAGGTGAGAGGTGTGCAACAAATCTAAAAAATGAACAAAACTGCAGCCCCAGCAGTTATAGAGTATCTGTAAAAGAAAGGTATTGACACCCATGGAAATCCATGAGGACATGATACACACACACACACTTACTATGGTCACCTATTCTTATGCAATGGACATCTAGATGATAATCAATCAGGTCATCCAAAAACTTCAACCACTGATGAATAAGTTGATACAATTCACTGTAAGGTTTTGGATGACAGCTATCCGCTAGACAGTAAGATGTCTAAATCTGTAGGCATTACTTCTGGTTCAGTCCATAATGTTCTGAGATCTTTGGGATGTGCAAGATGTGTCCCAAGAATGCTGACAGCAGAGCAGAATCTGAAATGGGTCGAATAAAAGGACATTTTGAAAAATGTTTGAAGATTAAAAAAGAATTTATAAAAGAGACTTTTAAATCGAGATGAAACCTGGGTTTCACTACTTTGAACCGGAATCAAAGATTCAAAGCAAACATAGGAAATACTCTTGTTATCCCCCCACAAAGAATTTAAAACAGGCAGCATCTGTTGGCAAGGTGATGGCTTCTGTTTTCTTGGGATTCTGAAGGCATAATCATGATAAACTACCTGGAAGAGGAAAAAAACTATTAATGAACAATACTATGCATCAGAATTATAACTGAAGGTAGAAATCAAATCAAAATATAAAGGAAATCTGAGAGCAGTTTTGTTCCAGGATCAGTTATGTGCCATGCATGATACACACATAGGCGATCATGTCTCTTTTGATACATGACTGACGAGGCAGATTTTTCCTGCAGTAGGTTGCCATCTCTTTCTGCGGTAGACCAAGGTTATAGAACCTGGTCTGTCCTGCTATTTACCCATAGCTGGTGAGGGGAGAAGGAGAGGATTCATACCTTTCCCAAGGGTATTAACACGTAAGTGAATGCAATGTATTCAACTGGAATTTGAACTTGTTTCTCCGATCCCTCTATCTGAGCTGCTATCCATTACTCCACCGTGCTCCAGGATAGTATACCCATTCACACTGCTCAGGTTGAAGCAGCCAACTGTGGCTTTGAATTGCTATTCCACATCCCTCTTACTTACCAGAATTAGATCCATCTGACTTCTTCCTTTTTCTTAAACTCAAATCCTACCTGTGTGGTCACCATTTTGGAAATGATGATGAGATCATATGTGCTATGGAGGTGTTTTTGGAGGACCAGGATGCCATCTTCTTCTATGATGGAATTGTAATGCTTAAGCATTACAATCCCATCATCATTGGATCATTTTGAAAAATAGTGAAAAACTGTCTTGTTTCTCCTCTGGGCGATGCTTAGAACTTTTTGAACAACTCTCATATTGTATCGCATACGGCCCACCATTCAAAAAATGTTACCCATACCTGTGATATATCTTATAGACTGCTTATCTCTCCCCCTGGGGTATGTGCTTATATAGCTCTTTGTAATATGTTTTTTCTCTCATGCAATCAGGTCAATCATGTGCATGTGCACTCAGTGGCCAAGAGGTCACCTCAGGTCAACCCATCACCTCTGAAGAAAACAGTGCAAAGTCTATTCTAGCCTGACACACATATGCTCTAATGTTAAATTAATAAGCCTAACATTTGTTATCCAGTATATGATCAGCATGACATTGTCAGTTTCTGGGACAAGGAGCTCTCATTATTTATACTATTTACATTTGGTCTATTTTCCTCACTTTTGTTGTTGTTATCACGTTTTGGTCATTGTGAACTCCAGGCTTTCTCAGGTCTATATTAATCTGCTTCATTTGCAGGGAATTCTGAACTAAAATTTTTATTCAATCTACACGAGTAGACTGTTCTCATTCCACTGCTCATATCGAGGGATAGTTATCATTTTTTGAATTTGGTGATATAAAGGGGTGTTTCATTAAGACGGATCAAAGTCAGCAGTAAATAAATCAGTGTTATTGGTGAAAATTTATTTATTTCTCTATTGGATCATGCTATTTAAGTCATGGCAATTATGTGTGAAAAATGATATCACCCAAATGTTCAATAAGGCTTGAACTTGGCACAAAATCCGCTTGATGGTCAACATATTTGATGACGTCTCTACATAGTTGCTCCTTGAGCTCACCAATATGCCTTATTATCTCATCCTTCAGCTGTTGAATTGTTGTTGGCTTAGACCTTACTTTTGAGATGACCCCAAAGGAAGAAATCTAAAGCCGTCAAGTCGCATGGTGGTCAATTGACTTTGCTGTTTCAAGAGATGATGCGACCTTGGAACTTCTCATTCAATAAAGCCATTTTTGTAATAGGCTTTGATAACTTTAATATGTTGTTTGATTGTTAATCTTTCCATGATTGAAATTGCCACAGACTTAAGTTTTTAAATCTGAAAGAAAAAAATCATTAGCCACTTAAACTTCATTCGCATTTAAAATCAGTCCAAGTTATTGGAACACTTGTTGCGAGTTCAATCCCTGATTCGGGCAGTGTGTACTTGTATTCATTGGAAACAAGCAAGCAATATCTGAAAAGTGCTAAAAATTTATACCTTTTGACTGAATTTCAGGGAAGAGGAGTTATCATTATTTGTATGACTTGCATTTAATTGCTGCTAGCAAAGTTTTTCACTGTGTCATGCTAGACGATTTTTCTCACCAGAATCTATCTTACACATTTATAAGTCTACCATTCGACCATGCATTGAATATTGCAGCAACATCTGGTCTGGTGCTTCCATTTAGAGATTCTTGTCAAAATCCAAAGAATCTGTAATGACCTGACTTGACATCTCAACTTCTGTCACAATACTGTGACTTTTCTATAAATATTTTCATGGTAATTATTCTGATGAGCTTTCATCTTTGGGACTTCTACTTTAGGAATTTAAGTGCAATACTAGACTGGCAATAAAGTCACATAATTGTACTGTTGAAATGACTAGATGTAGGCGTAAGTTCTATGCTAACAGTTTCTCATCTTGCACTTGTGGAACTCTCTTTCAGTTTCTTGCTTCCACTTCAACATTGATCTTCAAGAATTTAAATCTATTGTCAATCTTCTGTATTGTCAATTCTTATTCTTTAAGTGTTCTTTCTTCTTAATGTTTTTCTTTTTCTCCTATTTTTACACTCAGTAATCTCCTTACGTCTTAGTGGATTTATTGCCTTGCTTGTGGGGGAAATAAATTTAAAAATAAAAAAGTTATGTATTTCTTTTAAGGCTATTTATGAATTAGTTTATTTAGATATATTTATGAAATCTGCTACCACAATTTTTGTCAAATGTAAAAAATAAATTTATCAAAGAAGATGAAACTTATTGACTATAATGAAAGATTGATACTGTATTCAAATAGATATTATTTTATTATATAGAAAGTTACACAAAAATAATAAACACCAGGAAATTGTACAGTAATATTGCCTTTTTTATTGTACAAAGTATTGTCAACTATACAGGATGTGCATGGAAACTGGGGTTGTTGGGCTGGGTCCAATTTCTGCAAAGAATCCATCTGTTTCCACCAATTTACTGGCCAGATGTAACTGTAGATTCTATACTAAGTTTATTTTCTCACTTGTGGAACTCCCTTCTGGCTCCATGCCAACTTTAATCTGCAAAAATTTAAATGCAGTCACTATCTACTGTCCTCCTGATTACTCTTCTTTGTTCTCACTCCTTAGCAATGTTTCTGTTTCAAAGTTTTCTACATCTGTAACCCTTGTGTCTCAGTGGCTTTGCATGGGATGAACTCGATTTATTAAAAACAAAAATATGGGTCAAAGAGCAGGGTAGAAAACGTTTTCTAGACTCGGATGGCAGGCAGTCTTGGAAAAGACAACAGGAAACCAATATACTTTGTCGGAGTTAGCTCCTCCTTAGTTTCTTAATCCTTCACCAGGGGTCTCTCTCCTCTTGCTATAAATACTGGGTGACCTTTTGCCGTGATCTCTCTCTCCCTCAGACCTTGGGCCATATCCACCTCGTGTGGAGGTGAGGTAATTCTTTCTCTTCTTTCTTTATTTCAGCTAATACCAATATATGAGCTCTCACCAATACAGCATTTCCCAAATTCTG